CGCAAGGGGCGGGGAAGAGCGAGGGGAAGGGGGAAGAGAGGGAGAAGAATTTTGGGTTGTATGTGATTATTTGTTGAAATTTGTAACTTTTATGATTTTTCAAATACTATACTTTTGTGGACCAATTATAGTTTAAATATGTGATCTTTGTGAGTATTGTTTGATTCGTGTTTAATTCATGGCTGAATTTTAAGAATATTGTTGTAATTCAGTGTATCTGAGATCGATTATTGTTCACAGGTGTATTTTCGTGATTATTGTTTGATTCAATATATATTATTTGATTCATGTAAATCGATTGATTCATGACGAAAATTTCATGCATATTTTGGATTGTATGCGTACCTATCGTGATTACGTTGCGTATATAAAAAACATGCACAGGCTGCTGTGCATGTTTTTTAAAACACGCAGCTTCACGAGACTTTAAGTCCCAGAAGTTACAGTTCTCATTTTCCGGAGCCGCGATTCTCTAGAAAATGAACCTGAAACTTCACGGGACTTCAAGTCCCGTGAAGTTTGGGAACTTTTTTCGTTAAAACCGACTTGGTTTCAGCCCCAGCCATGAAGTTTGAGAACTTTTTTCGCCAAATAAACTTGAAATGGGTCTTTTTTGGGGAATAAGTTTGCAAATAGGGCTCTTTTAAAAATTTATCATTCTAAATTTTTTTGTGAGAAAAAGATATATGTCCGGTATAAATGGTGTTGGTCTTAATGCAGAAAAACATAATCAATAGCTTCTCAAGGATTATGGCAAAGAATAGGAAAGCAAGAATGTTAAAACTTTTTTCTTTTACTCTCTCTCTCTCTCTCTCTCTCTCTCTCTCTCTCTATATATATATATCATTCTAAATTTTTTTGTGAGAAAAAGATATATGTCCGGTATAAATGGTGTTGGTCTTAATGCAGAAAAACATAATCAATAGCTTCTCAAGGATTATGGCAAAGAATAGGAAAGCAAGAATGTTAAAACTTTTTTCTTTTACTCTCTCTCTCTCTCTCTCTCTCTCTCTCTCTCTCTATATATATATAT